AGTGTTAGAGGATTGCCGCTCCAAAACAAAATTCTATGTCTTATGTCTTTCAGCCCTTTCGTGGATTCCTGACACATCTCGCGAATAACTTGAGCCTGTTTGCGATCACGGAGGGTACAGGCCATTCTTAGGGTGATAGCGACTGACGCACTCATCGGGATCGGCAGGGGCTTGATTATCGAGTTCAGAAGAGGTGGTAGAAAAAGTTACTGGATCGCAGTGCTCATTTTAGCGCTACCCTACGCTGACCCTGAATCAATGATGGAGCCCACAAAATTGTTCACGAAAATAGTTCTCGAGCAATGAAACCAGAGAGACGGAAATGGTGGCATAATGCTAAAAAACCAAATTCTGTTACAACGCCTTAAGATGGTTCCCCGATCAAAGGCTCAAGGTAAACAGTGGAGTTGGTGACTACCACCCGACCGTTCACGAAATAAAAGTACTAAGTCAAATAAAACTTCTTTAAGCAGTGATGAGCTTCTTCCGATGCTACTACATCCTGCTTGGTGCTTTCTGCTTACTGAACAGAATGAAACAGCTTACGATGCAAGTACAGCATGCAGCCTATAAGGGATGGGTAGTTGAAAATAACAGAATGAGAATCACGACGAGCCCCAAGTGGCATGCATTTAAGTGAGGAAATGTTGGGTGTTAGTAGTTTTACAGACATAGTTGAACGCTTGTGATATGTCGTATTGAAATTGCAGTTGGTGTTTGGTGAGCGCGGAAAGCGAATTGCCAATTTGTTGCACCCCCACTGAGGACAGAACAAGGGTGTCGCGAAATTCATGGCAGACTGGAATATATCCCTTATTGTTTGCTATTGTTGTATTCTTGTACTAGGTGAGATCTAAAAATGGAACTGTTTATTAATGCATAATAGTAGCCTAACGTTTCGACGCAATCGACTTCTTCGGGGATCTAAACGCAGCTCAGAGTGTTTTGCAAGCCTCTCTAATAGTCTTTCTCCCAGTTCGACCCGTAGAACGTTGGTCATTAATCGTTGAGGATCCGATTTATACGTCGTCACTTCTGCTAGAGATTAGACGCCTGGTGAGTAGCGTGTAAAACATCTCGAGTAGCGTTGAATTTCGGAAAAAAAACTGATTGCGCAGGGCCGCTTCATGGAAAACCTCTTAGGGCACAAAAATGTTGCAATTGCAAAGAAAAGCATAAAAAAGGTCTTCGGCGTTGATCAGCCCCTCTATTCGAAATCATAGCAACGTTATGGACACTAGGTTGCCTCTTGGGGAAGGGAAGTCCTGCACTCTTAGCTCTGACCACTCCACGAACACGAGCAAGCTACTGGTCTTGGTTTTTTAATTAAAGCCCCTTCTCCGCCAGATTTATCTGCCGTTTCTACCGCTTGTCTGAAGTTTCTCTACTCTCCAAAATCAGAGCGATGTCATCAGCGTAAAGGATAGCCTCCAGTAGTAAAACCGAGAGTCTTTCTGTGATGGCATTCATTGTAAGCAGAAAGAGAAATGGGCTCAGAGCCGATCCTTAATGTACCTCATGCGACTGTCGACCTTATTAAACCGTGAGGGTTGCACATGTCCCTTTTGAAGCTATCAAACATTTCCTTAATCTGGAGGATGAGGTGTACCAGAACCTACCGTCCTTAGAGCGCTTCCCTGAGAGCTTTTCGCGTGAGGCGCCTAAAAGCCTTCTCCAGATTGAGGAAAGGTGGGTAGCAGAGTCTACGATTTACTCAGTACTTCTTCTTATTTTATTTACCTGAAGATGAACACTTAACAGGCTTAACTGCTCCTGTGAGATCGGGACAAGTTCTCCCAATCTTCAGCCGTCTAAGTACTCGCACGGTGGAATGCCAGCCTGTTTCTACAAAAATTGAAGCACTTTATCCTTCTCCCTTCTTTTTGCTCATGCGATTGATAGCACTGCTACTAAAGCCATCTGGGGTTCTTCCTTCTGTGGTTAGAAATCGGGTGAGACACCTAGTCCGTACTCTACAAACGTCTTCCATGCCTTGATTGAAAGTCGCTTCCGTGGCCCTCATATTTAATATTGCTCGAGGAACCTCATCTTCGATCTAGAGTGCAATGAAGCCAGCCGTGGCCTCGAAATGGGGCTGGTAGAACTACCAGTTTAGATGCTCTCCGAGGTATTCTTTTCCCTTGCGCCTGACATCACCAGGCTTCCTCAGAATTGCAACGTCGCTATGTTTTACAGTGCTCATTACGCCGATATTCATAGTCGGCAGCCCTTGGCCAGCCAAAAAAAAAACAATCTTGTTACCTTCTCGATCATTGAGCTTCTAGTTCGAAGCGTTCATTCCCTCACTCTTTGTCTTTCCGCGTCGCTGGCCTACCTTTCTTCTGCCTCTCAATTTGCTGAATCTCTTCAATACAGAAGAGCGCCACCTTGGAATACATCTTGAGTCTCCTCCGCAAAATGACTACAACAGCTCTGCTTACCATCACATTTGTTGAATTGGTTCTTCGGGACCTGGAACCAGCTTCTAGTAGTTTCTTCTCATGACTTTCTTGTTCTGTTCGGCGCAGCTCCTGCCACGGATCCTCCTCCTCGTTGTTATTCTTGACTTACTGAGAAGCTTGATCGCGGGGTCTGCTAAGGCAGGCCAACTCTTCGCCAG